CTGTAATTTTTCAAGTATTGGTCTCCAAATCCTGATAAGATTGTCAGCAGTCTGAAGAGTTTGAGAAACACTGATATTATGTTTATAAAGGTGGATTTAAATTAAACTCTTAGCATTTTTCTTCTGTAGTGGTATTTCCCTATGCCATTCAAGAAATAAGTATAGAATCCAGCAAATATTTAGTATTGTACCCAGCAAATTATGCTTACAGCTCGTCATCTAATATTCCAACTAGCTGACTTTGCTATTTGACACAAGTCTTGGAACATGAAATTCTTTTTTTTTTTTTTTTTTTAACAAACAATTTTGTTTGTTTTTCTTTTATAAATTGCTATAATAGCAGCAAATGTTTATCTAATTAAATATATATATATATATATGAAATATTTAAATTGTACATTGTTAACGTTTATAATAGTCTTTATTACCATTTAACCTAGAATTTTATATATATATATAATTTCATTCTTCTCTTGTGTGATTGAATGTTAATGTGATCATGCTTCTGCTTCAAAGTGTAAAAATAAATACTACTTATAAAACAAGCAAAATATAATATAAAATAATTGTTAAAAACACAAAGCTTATATTTTTGAGTGAAGGGAAAGCACAGTTCAGCCGCTGCAATATCTCTTAATATTGCCAGGTTTATCTCTCCCTGTTCTACATAAAACAAACTTAATTTATCACCACTAATTGAATAACTATTTGGTTAATTTTATTTGTATACTTGTGTTGTCATGGAAATGAATAATTGGGCGAAATTTCAACTTGATCCGAAAACAGGAGAGCAAAATGTGTAGAAGAATACAGAAAAACAGTGTTAAGATAAGCTTGGTAAAAAAGGGGCGACTGTCACTGTAAAATCATAGACATAAAAATGCAGATGTTCTGTAACTTGTATTTTACCACCAAAAGAAAATTTCCTTTTAGCAATCTAAATATGCTACATAACAATAATATAAAAAAAAAGGACACTTTAATCAATCCTAATATTTTTTATAACATAAAAATTACAGCAGAAAATAAGAGAGAAATTATTTTTTAAAAATTGTATTATCTGGCTTTTAATGGGATCAGTAGCTAGCATGACTAAAATAAGGAATTGGTGGCATCACGATTTTTTTTTTCCTGGTGACATGTGTGGCTGATACTGTAGCCCGAAAATTGAAAGGCAGCGCTTAAGGGTCCTGAAGCCTGATTTATACCAGGCTCATGCAGCTTTATGAGTCCCTTTTGCACAATTGAGTACCGGTAAAAAGTTCCAGAGTGTGTATAGTGTTGTAATATATCTTCTCTTGCATAATTTATCTTTATTTATTTGAATGGGTTTGAAAGTTGGTGATTGAAAAACTGTCAAGACTTACCTTGGTTTTGTCACATCAATTACTAAGCAGAAGATTGTGTAGAACTTTTTTTTATGTGTGCTTACAAGATTTTCATTTCAATTTTTTTTATTGCTTTTGTTGATTCCAGCTTTTTTTTTTTGTCAAGTGACAATTTTCAGAGAGTAAAAAAATATGTGTGTCCTTTTTATAAATTTTTTTTTTGCTATTGCACTGTTTTTACTTTATTTTTTAAAACAATAGTTTTAGTGACACTATATGATTTAATAACAATATTACAATCTAAGCTTAACCAATTTGTGTAGAATTGATTGTTTTGTAAGGAAAGGAACAACCTATTCCCCTAGTTAAAGTTGTCAGATTGCATTGTGGTGTTTGTTTCTGGTAACTGGTGAGTTCAGGATAAATTTAACAAGTAAAACCCTTTCACATGGTACCACATTACAGCTTTGGGTCAGGTCCCAATCAGTGACCGCACCTGAAGTACGTCCCCTCAACGTCTATAGAAAAAAAAAGTTCCCCTTTCAGGCCTTGTGGGGTATAGGGCAGATGATGTAATGGCCATCTGTTTCTGTGGCCTATTGCTAACAAGGGTGTCATGTGGCCAGCACAACGACCATTCGCTTTTATTTTTCCCAACTAATGTCATGTACCCATTAGAGCTGGGGGTGGGTGGACTCAGAGGCGCCCATCAGTCTTCGAACCTGGGACTCCCAGTCTGGAAGCCAAGCGCTTTACCACTCAGCCACTGTGCCTCCCAATTTACCCTCTACCTTAGGAGAAATTAAGCTGAAAATATAAAAGAATAAAATGAAATGGAAATAAGTAAGACATATAGACCTAGTTTTAACTTTTTTTTTTTGTGACAAAATTATGTAGGCTTTAAATGATTTTTTTGTTCAGAGTTTATTTATTTTAAGGTTGGCTAAAATGTTAACTGCTCTTTACGCTCGCATCTGGTGAATATGTATGTTGACTTTTAATACTATGAAATGAGCATTGAATAAGTGTTATGATTGGATGAAAAGTTACTAAATTTGTATATCTTGTGTACCCTAGTAACTTCTCATGTCTTCTTTTTTTTTTGTTAAGACATATTTAATCAGTGATTTCTGTGATTGAACAATGAAATCTTGAACGTGATACTCTGAGCATTGCTGCTTTTTGTCGACAACTTTTAAGTTCTTATGGCTCACTTTATTTCCTTGAGATTTTGGTGGTGTTTTTTTTCCATAACCTTATTTTGAATTAGGCACATTGTTGATCAGCTTTAAACCCATGTAGATTCTCTTGGGCTAGAGATATACAGCATGTGCTCAGAACAACACAAAGATAAAGGAAAATTATTTATCCATGTGCGGGGACAAATCCTTACAAGTGCTACTTATTCCGTGGCGCCATTAGAGAATAAAATATGAAAACCAACGACTTGGCAGAGTTTCAGCCACTGATTAACATAAATGACATTATGAAAGAGATAGCCGAGATATAAGGATAAAGAAAAGAAAATAATTACCAGTGAAAAAAATAAGGATTCACTTCACATTGCCCTTATTTGTACCCCTACTCCTCACTAAGTGATCCTCGATGTCCATACATTTTGTAAAAAATTATACATGGCTCTAGATGCCTGGTGCCGCCTTGGGAAAAAGCTAATATGGTTACAATTAAATTGGATAACTTTAAATATTTAGTTCTAGATGTAGTTCTGGACACTTCATTCTTTTTGTTGTCTACATGGGTTTAGAGCTATTTGTTTTTCTTGATCAGAAATATTTGTTTTCGTCGACATTCTTTCACATTGTCTGTGGTACAACAGCGATTTTCGTATACTGATATATTTTTTGGTTTTTAAACTTTGGAGCTATTACTTGATGCTGAAAGATGAAATGCATGTAAATAATGCCCTGAATATTTATACTGTTCTTTTTTTAATATGTCTACCATTGTATATTTTCAAGGAGACAGTCTTGGACATAGTGGAGATGGACAAAACAATTTTATACAATTATCACATTTGCAAATTTCTTTTTGGGGAACATAGGTCCGCACTATAAAATAGTTTGCTATTTTTTATTTTTTTTTATTTCCCGGTACATTAGTTCCTTCCTTCTCTGTGTTTCTTTTCTTGTGTTTGTAGCTCTGCTGATTTGATTCCATAGGTTGTCTTTTTGTTTGTTTTGTTGTCCTTGTATCTCTGCTGATTTGAGTTCATAGATTGTTTTTTTTTTTTGTTTCTTTTGTGGTAATCCATGAACTGCTACTGCAATACAGCACCAGTACTTGTGGTCGATTCTTAATGAGATAGTGAAGTTACCAGAAGTTTTTATTATGTAGAGCTCCTTCTGTTTCTTAGTCTTAGAGAACAAGAGACATAAGATTCTTCTATTTTTAAAATAGGAAAACTGGATGCACCAGTATTTTCACTTTTTCTTTTTTGCTATCCTTCAAATACAAGTATCAATACCATAAAAATGTGTTTATGCGGATTTGTTCTGGTTTAAATATAGGAGAAAGGCTAAGAGAGTTGGTGACAATTTTGCCGCCTGAAGCACACCGTGTTACTGGCAAAACTACTGCTGTTTCGATAGACACATGAGCTGCGTGGAGAGAGGGGAACTGCTGTGTAAGTGTAGGCGACTTCATTATGATTTGCCTTTCATTTCATATGCTTTTGCGATGTAGCATACACTCATTTAATCATAGAGGCCAACAATTCATATTTCTGAATTACATTTTTTTGGTTAAACAAATTTGAATATTTCCCTTTACTTGGGAATTGAAAGTGAGTTTTATAAGCTAAAATAAGGAGCTAATTGGTTGACTTCATTTAAACTAAATCATTTGTTCAAATTGTTTAAGATTTCATATTTACCTTTGTGCTTGCAAAACTAGTAGTTCATATTAATAGTGTAATTATTTCTGCCCTCATTAAATCAGCTCTTGTTTAAACCTTAACTATTGTGTACAAGAGAGTTGTTGAGTCAATGAAAAGAGTCAAACTATTTGTTGAATGTCTTCAATGTTTTCTGAAGTTTTTCTTGGAAACAAGTAAAATGGATGTCTTATTGTGATATAGAATTGTATGTTAAAATCTTCAAGTATGTAACTACATTTCTCTGCTATGGATTTATTAAAAAAAAAACAACAGAGTACAAGGTTTATGCTGTGTATAAGAAGAAAGCTGTCCTGGCTATACTAAGTGGATGTTGGTCTATGCAAACCATCACTAAATTTTTTTTTCCCCTCAGTGCTTCTCAAGTATTGCAACAGGTTCACTTGTAGGCTGTGAGTTCTCTCAATATAGCAATGCAGAGAGCACTATTTTATCTATTCCAGAAATGTAATTATCATAAAGTTTTCAAATTTTGCATAAGAGTATGAATGACACTGGTAACTATCTTGCTAGAAACATTGCTTTTTTTTTGGCTCTAAATAACATATTTTCCCCCTATGTGTATAATATTAATTGGTAACTGTTTGGAGTTCTTTTTTGTCCTTCACATGTGTTTCTTCATAGTTATCTGCTCATCCAAACATTAGGGTCATTCTATTTTTTTTAATAAGTATGCTAACTATTATTGAGCTGTTTCGAAGAATGCTTGTACTGTACGGTAGTTAGAAGTTTTAAATAAACAAAAAGAAAGAGGATTCCCCCCCCCCCCCCCCTCAAATGTTGTTTTAATGTACTGTTTCAACATTTGAACACCAAACTTCGTTTTTTGTACAAGTCTTGTTTAACAGTAGCTAATATTTCATGAAAGTTTCGTTCAAGTCACATTTCTTTCCAACCACCTTTTTTTTTATCATTAAATCTTCCTAAACTATGGCTTCACTCTCAAATGTTATTGTAAACAGCTTCATCCTAATAAAGAAATATTTGTCTCTGGTGGTTTTGTTGGTTCAGTTCATTCCTAGATCTCACCAGCCACATGAGGCGACACAAAACCCCCAGTGCAAAGCCCTCAGCCCCCTGGATTACATAAGTGGTAATGAACCATATATTATATAGATCTTAGTGCTTCATTCACCTTAAAAGAACCTTCCCTCTCCCCCCACCCCCCCAAATTGTTCTGAAGTAATCTGCTGGGAAAAAAAAGAGTAATGTAATTAAATTTTGTTACATATTGGAACTTACTAAAAAAAGATAATTTGTATATGAGTTGACATGATATTCAGGTCACAAATTATCTGCCTCCTAGCAGTGATTTCATACTGCCTATGGTACCCAGCTACCAATAAAATATAAGTACCGGTATAATCTCACAATTAGAAAGCCAATTATGTCCTTCAGAACTGCATGCTTTATCCAGAGGACTGACCATGATACTGACTCCCCATCTATAGAACAAAAACTATATGGAGAGCTGTCTGATCTAGAAACCACAGCGCAGTTCATCTCAGATAAAGACGAAGTATCCAAACTCTTCAACTTGAGAATGCAGAGGAAATCATTTACATTCCGACGTTAGCCACTATTGCGACATACAAACTTTAAACATTTTCTATTGTAAATTATCCTAGACCAGAGTGTGAAGTGTTTCTCTTGCACCAACTCTGCATTGAAACCTGTTCTAATTTTCAACAACCTCTTTAATTTGTGCAGCATGACAACAGTTTTAAATTTTAGAAATATTTCAGTTCATTGATTAAACTGGTGGCGATTTTATTTTGGATTCATTACAGATGTTATAATAGATCTAGATAACAAGAGGTGAAAAAGAAAATAAAAAAAAAAAAGTGTTGATCATGTGTACAATGTAGCAGGGTAGAGATTTACAAGTTCAGCTTCTAAAAATATATGGAAAAAAAAATCTGAAGATATTTTATATTTTATTTATTCCAAATACATAAATGTAATAATTTTATAATATGAGCTAATGTCATACATTTTTATAAAAAGGAAAAACTAAAATAAATACAACTTAAAAATAATGACCATATCACACAAAGAACCAATCTGAGCCAAAGTCCAAGGTTACCATAAAAACTGGTACCAAAATTTCTCATCACACACTGGGTACAATATGTACGATACAATTAGTTTTGTCGCCGTCTGGTGAAAACTTCTGGTACAGCAAATGGTCAGGACAGAATCACAACAAATAAATTATGAAGATGGCAGAACAAAAAAAAGTGTATAAAAGATGAATTTGGAGAGAAAAAAAAAACTACAACAACAGACTCCTGGAGAGGGGCAGATAATGATTAATAATAAAACTTGTACTGAGTAATAAAACAAGCTTTCACTACTACACTCAAAGAAGCTTTAAATAAAAATAGGTTCCATGCTAAAGTCTAGCGTCGGTTACTTGCACAGCGCTCACTTAAAAATCACAAACAAAATATTGTCAAACAACAACTAAAACAATCTTCACAGCTGGTTTCTGACAAACACAGATATTTTCATCACAAGATGAACTTTTTGACAGTATTTGTACTCCATATATATAAATTATTTCCTTTAAAAACAAAAACATACAAGGCTCAACGGACTACAAAAACTACTTTTGTTTCCTTGTAAAGCTGCATGTGTATAGATCTAATGGCGGACACAAAAATAAAGTACAAGATAAGCAAAACTGAAAAAAATTATTTTAATGATTAAATTAATGAAGATAATAAAACTTCTTGTTTTTACATCAGCCCCCAACAAAGGTAGAAATAAAGTGACACACACTTAGAAAGGAACAAAGACCATCACCAGAGGAAAGTGGGAAATAAAGAGAAATAATTTCAAAGTGGAATTCCATATCAAGTGAAATGAAAAAAGTAGTCATACATGTTTAGTTTCATGACAGAAGCTGAACCCTATCGACACTTTTGTTATCACTCAACTAGACCATTGATGTGTCTGTACGTTATCTTCACCTAGAAAGAAAATTGCCTCAACTACCAATAGAACCAGTCAATGGTGTGTGAACACTTAAATGTCAGTGTCACTTGTCCGCTGCCAACAGGTGTGACTGTCAGAAATCATAAGTTAGCATTAGCTAATCATTCATCCCAGCTAGTCTTGACAATTATTCAAAAAACAAATGAAACACAAGTCTCTCACATTAAATGTCCTCACAGAAACAAATACACACTTGCATCCATTCTAATTGATATTTCAAAGTGTTTCTATTTCATAGCAGATTTTTAAAACTAGATCACAGTGTCCAACTGTGATCATAACAACATTCTCAGAAATAATCATTATTCAGCAAACACACTATATCAGAAGGAATATGTATAGTAACATAGAAAATATATTTTATAGCACATTGAACGCCATCAAGGTACATTACGCCATTCCTTAAGTAAAACTTCAACATAAATTCATATGAAGCACAATTTCAATTACAAGTCTTTTACAACACATCAGTATGGTGATCTTAACAGACAAATCTTATTCTGAAAATAACCTCATGTTAAAAGAGATAGACATTTGTTGTTTTTCCCTAATTGAGTATATGTTTTAAATAGTTGACATTTTCTGTGGCGTGTTTATCACAAGTACTGACCACACTTTTAATCCTTATAAATAAATACTGTTATAGCAGTCAACAAGTCCAATTTGAATTAAAGATATGACAATGTCTTCAATTCCAAAGATTAAGAACGAGATTGGTGTTAAACGCAAACCCAGCTGCAAGCTGCATATTTTCTCATGTCTGGAAACCTTACAGAGTTTCACAACGCCTATGAGATAGGGATTTGTTTAGTTCAACAACTAGAAATATTTATAAACTTGATCTATGTATTCTCCATCAGAAACACGTTGTAGTATCATGGCTTGAAACTGATACTGAAAGCTCAATAGAAATGTTCCATCAAAACTCACTGGAAATTTAATGGCCATAACAGACCGCTCAATGTACAGAAATACCGGTATCCTACAGTTTAGTCTGTACAGAGTCAACAAAAACTTGTCTATAATAGGCCAGTGTTGGGTAACAGAAACTATTGGTACTGATAAAGGGAAAAAAAATCAGTTCAAAAGGGGAAGGATTTTCAGAATGGAGAAAAAAAAGCTGTTGTCACAACGTAGAGATAAAAAAAATAAAGACTCTTCATTGTGGAAGACTTGAATAAATGTCTCAATTCATGCACAAATTAAAAAAAAAGGTCTAGAAATATTTTAAAATAAAAAATAATTTAAAAAATCACAATAAGATTTTGTTAATCAAATCAAATCATGACAATATTTATACTTTAACAGTTTGCTTTGATACAAGTAAGAAAATTGTCAAGAATATAATCAACATACAAGACCAGTTCTTCAATGCTGACAGTCCCATTACAGTTCAAAGCCCATCATCCCTATTTTATGCTGTAGAGGTATTTATTTTATCAGCCTACCCTCAATGTGCTAAAGCAACAGAGGTATTTATTTTATCAGCCTACCATCAATGTGCTAAACAACAGAGGTATTTATTTTATCAGCCTATCTTCAATGTGCTGCACACAAGAGTCAAGTCTATCATCATTGTACAACAAAACAAGAGTTATCAACCAATTATCACTGCACTGTACAACAATTATCAGCTTATCATAACTGTACTGTACAACAGAGTTATCACCAGTAGTGCTCTACCTCACACAGTACACCACAATCAACTGTGTCAAGTAGGAAGTTACAGGAAGAAAATTTGAGTTAAGGGAGTACAAATGGATACAATAAATATATAATCCTCTATCTACAGACATGCACCTCACGACAATGTTATTTCTGCTAAACTATTTGGACCAGTCAACCCTTACACAACTTTTAAATACGACTTTTTAAAAACTGTAAAAAAAAATATTTATTGGTTTTGTATTGTAGAAGCTTATCAAAGTTTTGATAACTTTATAACCTAATCAAAACTACACTACGAGTTAGTGATTCTTTAACTTGCAGACATAGCTAGAATGGAAAATGTATGCATGTTTCAAATTGAAAAGGGGGGGGGGAGGGATGTCCTGCGCTCATGGTTAGTCCTGTTTCAAAATTGAAATGGAAAAATAATTTTATGTATGGCCTTTTGAATGTTTTAAAATACTTAATGCTTATATCAGCAATACTTCAGATCTTCAAACTTTCAATAGAAATGTACAGTAGAATCATTATACGATGTACATGAGGCAACTTATTTTTTTAGAAGACTAGCTATAAAAAAAATGGAAACTACATCTATAGATATAATATTAATATAGATTCTATGTATCTTTAGTTATTATATTATGAAAGATAAGGTTTATTTGTATGTACATCCTTTTTCATTTGCACCCAGGTGTTCAACATACACAAAAGTCATCTTAAAAACAAGACTTGCCAGTCTCGCCAACTCTTAGTGACAAAAGAATTTATATAAATAATTGAAATGGCCTTGAAGCAGCGCTGCTGTGTTTACAAATGATGTCATTTACATCTTGAGCAATAAGAAATTGCCAAATAGTGATTTACAAGCAAAAAAAAATAAATAAATGAATAAAATAAAAAATATATAAAACAATCAGAACAAGTGAACAGTTAAACACATGTACCCAGTATCAAATAATGAAGTCTAAGTGAAGGTGTTTTTACTTTGAACATATTTAATTAGGGTCTGCTAGCACTAAGACTATATCCTACAAAGAGTGGGATGAATGGCTGAGTGAGATTAACCCCTTGGCTACCAAACATGTGGGTCTTGAGTTTGAAATCTGAATTGAGCAGAGTTGCGTTTGCTGAGCACCTAAAGGCAGCACAGAAACATTCTCCTAGATACCCCCCCACAGGTCCACATACGACATTGGACAATTAGCAGCACAGAACATGCTATGGTTTGTTTTCTACACAAGTAATTAGAACAAAAAAAAGTTTTACATTTGTACGGTCAGCAAGAAGTGCCTAGAACTTGGACGTTCAATCCAGTCAATGAAAGGCGCATTAGGGCAACCAGATTATAGTAACTTGATTCACACTCTAGCAGAACTAATTCATTTCCTACTCAAGAATTTTGATTAATTACAGAGGAGAAAAAGAATCCGTTTCTTATATAAAAAGTTAAACAAAACAAAAAAACAACTAAAAAAAATAGCATGAAAATGATTTAACACGCCATACTTTAAAAAAAATAATTTTAAGAAACAATTATATATGTGTAGTATGAATATTACAAGAGAGTCTAGAACTTAACAACACAACAAGGGCAAACTATTTCTATCCTGTAAAAAACAAAAATAAGCCAAGTGAGATTTTGTCTACAAGTGTTTCCCAAACTGTGTTCCACAGCCTGAATACGAACTACTGGAATAATTAACTAGTATGCCAACAAGTTAATCCCTCTTAAAAAAAAAAAAAAAAAAGTGTTCCGCTAAATACTCAGAATGTGGGTAAGTGTTCCATTAAGGAAAAAGTTTGGGAACCACTGATCTAAAGTATGACCCACAATATATTCAATGATGTAGATCTTTCATATAACTCATTTATTGCCTAATGTCTAATTTTTTAAACAGAAATGAGACAACCTGATAGCCCTGACAGTCTAATCTATAAAGACTTTCTCTAAGCAATGTACAACTACAAAATGTGCAGATTGATTCACAAACAATAGAATGCTGCAGTTGATACTGAGAAGTCATGATGCATAGTTCAGAAATACACTATTTAAATATTCGGTAAAAAAAAAATAATTAGAAAATTCAAACAAAATAAAACAAAAAAATACAAATATACATATATTTGCTCACAAGAAACAAAAAATTTTTAGAAATGAAACTTTTTTGCAGTTTGAGAAAAGAATGCATATAATCTCTCAGGGCACCACTTTGAAAATAAAATTACGAATCTGATGTCCACTACATAGCCATTAAATGATCACAAAATGTTATATCTCATATATATATATATGTCTATACATAAATGTGAATAATTTATAAAGAAAACAATAATATTGTAATTAAATATACACTCATATGTATATGAAATAATTTTGACTAAATAATGTAAAGCTAATTAATGGAGATGGGAAATGACTTCATAACAATATATACACATCTTGAAGGTGAAATTACAGGCAAGGATTACTCGATGCAGTCATATCAAAATATTTGTAATACTAACTATAAAGTCGACAGAGTTTTAAATCAAAGGCTATGGTATAACTTAAGTTGGACAGTACCTGGCAAGTCTGTTGACTTGTCCAAAGTTCTTGACAGTGTCACTTGAAATGTTTTGACATATGCTGCTTAAGATTGTATCTTGATCTCGATGAGAAGGAGCAATAATCACAGGAATGAGGCTTAATGTCAGTGTGGGTAAGCTTGTGTCGATTCAGGCGTGAAACATTCCTGAAGCTCATCCCACAGTCTGAGCAAAGGAATGGCTTGACACCCTCGTGCCGAAGTATATGGTCGCTCAGGCTGGACCGGGAACTGCACTTGTAATCGCACTGCGTGCAGGCCAGGGGAGTCTTGTTATCATGTCGCTCCGTGTGGTACCGCAGTCTCTTTTGGGAATCACACGTGTAATTGCAGATGGAACAGGTCAACTCCTCTCTATCTTCATGCATTTTCTTGTGGCTGGCAAACTCTCTGCTGGAACGGCAGACATAACTGCACTTATCACAGAGGAACGACTTATGCCCGTCACTGTGACTTCTGAATTCTTCGCTGTCTGCACACTTGAAATCACATTTGTCGCACTCCAACACCTTCCCATCCTCGTGTGTTTTCAAATGCTCTTTCAGATCTTCATCTGTGGGGTACGTGGTCTCACACACTGAACAGGAGAAAACACTTTCAAGAGTGTGTGTCTTTTCGTGAATAGTCAGCCTGTACTTCCTGTTGCTGGTGAACGAGCAAATGTTACAGCTGAAAAGTTTGTCTGAGTTGTGTGTTCGCATGTGAGCTTTCATGTGATCCCGTCGCTTGAATGCCTTTTCACACTGCTCACACTTGAATGGCTTTACATCCGTGTGAGTCAGCTTGTGGCGCTGAAGCATAGTTTTAGTAACAGCAATGTACCCACACTCAAAGCAGATTTGTGCAGGCTTTGATGAATTGTCACTATTTCCATATTTTCTACTAGTCCTGTGGAAAAACTCCCCCTCCTCAGACATGTCATTACTGTTGCTTGGAATGTCAACTGAAATGTCATCACTTAAAACCATATCATCATTGTCCATGTGAGAGCTCTCATTTTCATGTTTATGATTGACATTGGATGCTAATTCTGCTGCGGATGGTGAAAGTATCGGGTGGTCATTAAGCCCGCTGCCAGAAGAATGATTAAGTGGGACGCTATTCTGAGCAGCGCTCTGGCTAACTGTGTCAGAGTTTAAAGGTGAGCTTGTGCCAGGATTCATATAAAAATTCATGTTGGCACCCATGCTGCCAGGAAATACAGTCTCATTGTAAATATAAGGAGTAGAAAAGGCATACCCACCATTTCTGTCCAAGTAATTGAAATTTGGATTATTCTTGGCTATGCCAGGACTGTAGGCCATGGTATTATTTTGACTTAACAAACTGTTCACTTGCTGGTATGCATCCTGATAAGCTGATGTTTGACCCATGGCTGAGCCACCAGGAAAACTGAAGCTGGAGTTGCTGCCCTGATCCCTCAGCATGGTTAGGTCACTAATGCTTCTGTTAAACAATTGATTAGCTAGGCTCAGCTGATGCTCTGTTAGTTTTATTGGATCCTGCTGGTCTGGAAAGACTGGGTTTAGATCTTTTGAGGAAATAGTTTCCAAGTAGGCAGATGAAGTAAGCTGGTTGATGAGGGGCTGGAGGTCTGACTGAAAAGACTCTTTGATTATCTCAGTTGTCGTGTTCATGGGACTGATATAAGGAATCTGCGTCTTAGGCTTGCGTCTCCTGCGTGTTCTCTCTTGGTCTGTGTGCCTCAGCATGTGCTGCTTCAGATTATACTTTGACCGGGAGGAGAAGTCACAAAAGTGACAGCCATACGGTTTTATGTCAGAGTGAACCAACTTATGGCGATTCAAACGGGAAGTGTTACGGAAGGCGGCTCCACATACTGAGCAGAGGCAAGGCTTGATCCCAGCATGCCGTAGAAGGTGATCCGAGAGACTGGAACGAGAGCTGCACTTATAATCACAGTGGGGGCAAGAATGTGGCGTTTTGTTTTCGTGTCTGGCCATGTGATATTTGAGCCGCTTGACAGAATCGCAGGTGTAGTCACACTTGTCACATTTGAGCTCCACATCAGCAGAGCTGTCAACTTTCTGATCAACATCTGAATCGCCCTCAACTTCCACTTTGTGCTTGTTCCTCATGTGGTAGCTGAGCTCACAGTAGCGGCGGCACCTGTAGTCACACGAAGGGCAAGTGATCGGCTTCACTGTTTGGTGTGTCAGTATGTGCAGCTTCAGGCGGTATTTGCGATGAGTGCCGTAGCTGCAGTGAGGACATGTGTGGGGTCTGGCATTATTGTGCGTATTTTTATGAACCTTGAGATGGTCTTTCCGCTTGAAAGCAGCACCGCACTGGGTACAAATATAGGGTTTCACATCAGAATGCCTTCGCATGTGTCGTCTCAGCAAATTTTTTGTAGAGCAAGAATAAATACACATAGGGCACTGGATCGGTCCTCCTTTCATCCTAGGTATGATCAATTTTGTATCTTTTTTGAGCTTCTCTACAGTGTGGTTTAAATTGTTCTCCAGAATTATTGTCGCATCAGAGCTATTACTGTTTTCATTTTGCTCAACCTTAATCTCAACTATCATGCCATCATCAGGTTCTGATTTAACTACCGAGGTCTTACCAGGTTTGTGCTGGTTTTCATGCTTCCTCAAGTACTCCTTACTCTTGAAAGCAGCGCCACAGACCACACAGAAATAAGGGGCGTTACCTGAATGAGTTTCTAAATGTTTATTTAAGGCCCATTTGTTTTCAAATCCCTCGCTACAGTGCTCACAGGTGAAGGGTTTCAACTCGGTCAGGCTGAGAATGTCATCACTTGA